ACTTCACATAATTTCTAGGTGTCTTGAATTGATTTTAGATCGATCCCGACCAAACCCAGACCGATTCCAACCAATTCCGACCGATTCCGATTCCGATTCTGATTCCGATTCCAACCGATTCCGATTCCGATTCCAACCGATTCCGACCGATTCCGATTCCGATCCCAACGATTCCGAGTCAAGAATCGGATCGGATTCGGTTGGGATCGGAATTGGTGCATCCCTAATCTTTAGAATATCTCACACAGCCTGTCCAGCTAAAAAGGGACCTGCTTAGTCAAAGTTGAGCAGAAGATTTCTTGAACATAATGACAATCAAACTCATTCATTCAAATATTTTTTATAGGTTTTCGTATATTTCCTATCAGTAGATATCATCTGTTTTGAAAAAGCACAAAAATAAATGGTAATTACCAGCCAAAATCAAGCATTTTTGTGAAGAAACGATGAACAAACGGCCTTACTGTCTACAATCATATTTCCAGCACTACTTTATCATTCAAAAAAAATCGAAATAATAGTAGTATCATCGAAGATTGGACTATCGTACCTCACTCATTCAAAACGACTCCTTCCATGAGAACGACTCAGAAAAGTTCACATTTCTAGAAATTTTCTCGCTGTGAAAAACCAATATTATTATTTGTGTATAAAGCTAAGACAACAGATCTTATAATGATGAAATCTTTTTGGGAAGCTTATTCATACAAACATTTATCCCGAAAACATTACGATAACGCACCCATCGATTTTTTTTTAGCCCTATAAAAAAACGCATTTTTTAAAGGTTTAATAATAATAGAAGGTGATCCATTGATATCAAACAATTGGAAAATCATTTGGTTAATTCATTTGGTTTTTTGTTTCTTGATACTTCATCACACGAATCTCATGTGGTTCTAGTTGTAGAAAGTGTTTTGCAATTGATTGAATGAAACACACCTGCTTCGCAGTTAAATTGTCTCTATAAATACAGAGATAAATGTTGAAGATTTTCGACGAAATGATTTCTTACGTGCAAATAACAAAATCACGATCATTTCGACCGATTTTAACAGCATAAATCGATTCAGATAAACAACTGTATAGATGATCCAATTCATGAGCAATTGTATTGAACATCATTTCCCTATCATTGGTGGATAAATTCTGTAGCTCACGACCAAAACATAAGAATAAATCTTCAACTAATGGTGTAATAATAGACATATTTCTTGATGGATCGGTACCAAGTTCGAGCATTTTCATATAAATTTTTTTGGTAGACATTGGTGTACTTGTTCTTGGTTGAAGAATTCCACGTAAATAACCTCTAAATTCTTCCATAAGACCTCGACTATGAAGAATTCCTTTCAAGTACATTAATTCTCTCTTCATTTGTTGTTTTTCATCAAGAACAGTACGATAAAGTTCTTCAACAAATTCATATGTTCGAGATTTCTCTTGAAGAAGTTTCTCGTAGTGATCACGAACAACTTTTCCCACAACTAATGATGACTGATTTGAAAATAGGTGATTTAGAGTCTCGTCGGAAAAAATTGAATGATCAGATGAGATTTGTTTACGATGATAAATAATTGGAGTTACTATTGATTGTCGAAGTAGATTCTACATGATCAATGACAATATGACATTTTTTTTCTCAAGTTTAAATCATCTGAAGAGATACGAAAGAAAATCTGATAGTGAAACTAAGATCGTTTATATCGATCCAATCATCTTCTATATTTCTCCGGATAAGAGCCTTTTCACTGAAACTGTATTTTAAATTTAATTTGAAACGATCTATTGTGACAAACTTTACTTACAAATCTTGTTCGTAGCATTGGTGAAAGACTTCTCAAATAAAACATATACCAATACCAAATAATTAAAAGATGGAGATGGAGTTGATGACTTCAGATGACTCACAATCAATGAGCGGATTGGTGTAAAGTAATGCACTGGTTATTAATGTTGTAAGAATGATTCTGATATATTCATTTCGATGTCAAAAATAAAAAAAGATTTAAAGATCTTCTTCGATTTGATAAGTGTACTTTAGATTGTCGAAAAGAAATGTTCAATAGATGGCGTTCATTGACATGCGGCTGCACTTCGTGTAGTCAGCTATCAATTTTGCATCTTAAAGAACATAGATATAATTTTTTAAAATAAGGCAATTAGTTAAAGAATATTCAAGAGTAAAAATTACACTTCGTTGATACTTTATATAATTGTTGCTCCACCCAGATCACATTAACTGATTTACGTCGAGTTTTTCAAACAGTTTTTCCACGTTCACCAGATAGTTGACTTGAAGTAAGGGAAAAAAACTTTCCTAAGTTGTTTTTCATTTGAATACTTTTTTCATCTAGGTTCAATCACTTATTCAAAATCGACTTATATTAAAATCTGTTCGTGATTTATTAACTATTGTTGAAACAGCTCTACTTAAAGTTTATTTAATTGATAATAATAATACATTAGCTAATGCATTTTTACGTAATCAAGATAATTGTTGCTTGCCAACAGAAGTTGAAACGGAACTTATGAAACATCATCGTTGTCAAGAATTAGTTTCATTTTATGAAAAACAAAATCGACATAGTGAAGCATTAGAATTAATTAAAAATACAGAATCATTATCAACACGTGAAAATATTCTTAATTATTTATCTAAACTTGATAATAATCAATTACCACTAATTTTTAAATATATTAAACCAATGATAAAGTTTGCTTTAGAAGAAACAAAGAATGAAAATATTCTTCATGATATACTAATATTATTTGTTGGTAAATCAATACCAACATCACCATCACTATCAACAATGGATATGTCAAATGCAGAAACAATTAAATTTAATCCAATTGAAGTATATGAATTTTTAAAAGATATTAATCAAGATTTTGCTATAAAATATTTAGAAACTATTTGTTTAAAACCAGAACTTAATTCTAAACAACGTGATATTTGTAATCTTCTTATTTATGAATATCATGATCGTATTAAACAATTATCCAATGAATCTGAACCAATGATTGAAGCTAAACAACAAGAAATCAAAGATAGTCAACAACAAAATTGTAAAGGCATCTTATGCTTTACTAAAACAACAGAAAAATTTTCAACTTAACGTTTATATATAAAGAACATAATTGCTAAAGACTATTCAAACTTACCATTCTATTCTAACGAGGAAAACACTCTGGACAATACTTCGCGTTTGAGATAAGACATGTCTCATTTAGTAAGATCTATGGAGCCTATTGACGTTTTAAGAAAGCAATCGCTCTTACTGTTCCTAGAATAATTTTGAATGAGAGCACAACTTGTCAATAAGTGATGACATCATGCTTTTTCTCAGTGTGTATCTTGTATTTCAGTTAAGCGGAAACTTGTAAGACTGGGACTTTTACTGAAGACGTAAACTCAACTGTTCTACATCTACAAGAAATTACATTGAGTTCGCTCTTCTTATTCTTCTTTTATGAGCACAACTACATGTCGTAAAGGAATTACACGACACAGAGCGTTATTTTCAGTGAATTGAAAAAAATGAGAAATTCAGCTCAATTATACGTCCCATAAAAGAACAATCTGTGGCAAACTTGTAGCTTCGATAACAACCTATCCAAAGAAAAACAAAAATTTGAAAAATAATAAAATCTAACTTTATACTGCGGAAAATGCGCCGTCATGAAACCAAGTTTCCTTATATGTGTTTCTCGACTATAAAAAAAGGTGTCGAGGCCAACTTGACGTTGATATACGATGAGAGTAAGATTGTCATGCAGAGGCTGAAAACTTGGTTTAAATATGTTATGATTTTGGAGGAATAGGTTAGCTTTTCTGTGTAAACGCGCTGTTGGAGGATTACTGTCACGTAGACAGGTCTAGCAACATAGAGATCTATGGATTTCATCATTCAAGAAAGAAGACTGCAATATTTTTGTATGCTGGAATTTGATTGGTTGACAACTGAACAGTAAGACGAGGTCTCTGTGAGTCTTTTCAAGAAAAAGACTCTGAGCTCATTTTTCACTGGATCTTCATTTGAAATATGATCAATCGATAGAAACGGTCTTTTCTAATTTATACAAGCCCTACACTTCTAACATGCTCTATTCATGAGTTAAAACTTTTTCCGAGAACCATAATGTCAGAAAATTGTCGTTTCAGATTGGCCCGTTCTGGACCAATGAAAGCTCCGCCAAAAAGATGACTTCGGATTCGGATTTCAGGCCCTCGATAACCTATCGTAAAGTTCCATCAAAACGTCGAAAACGCTTAAAATAAAGAAGCTCATTTCTGATTGACCCGTTTCTGACCAATGAAAGCTCGGCCAAGAAAAAGGACTTCGAATTCGGGACCCTCGATAACCTACAGCGGTGACCGATCACTTCGTCACACGACACGTCGTCGCGATCATTTCGTCGCACAACATTTCGTCGCAATCACTTCGTCGCAGAGCAATTTCTTTCGTTCTGCTCGTCACTATCTATTCTTGACATATCACTTAATTCATTTTTCTTTTTTTCAAAGATATGAAACTGTTCAATCAATTTTTCTTTATTTTGTGCATTATAAATGAGAAAAGCATGAAAAATTTGAGTATAAAAAAAGAAAAAGAAACAGGGAAAAGCAGGTTGTGGGATCTAAAATATATCGAAATCCTTTGAAATCTCTTGAAATATTTTCAAAATTATTTTGAATATGATTACACGATCAGAAATTCTTCAAATATTATACTTTTTACCAAGTATAGAAAAAAGTTGATCTGCAATGACATTTTATATTTTTGTAAATAATTCATCATTGGCTCAGCCAGAGATAGGAGTATTAGCAAATTGTGAAAAAATTCAAAATTAACTACGAACGGATTGTTTTAAAACGATACCAAGCGTTAAGTATCTGAAGCTGTTGCGGCACATGCATGCATACACAAGAATCCCAGAGTTAGTATTTTGATAGATAGTGTATTGGTGCAAACTACTATACTGTGAAGAAAGTTCAATTGACTATGTTTTTCATTAAATCGACAATCACGAAGATGACTATTCAATAGTTTATTTTCTTGAAAATGCTTGTTATTCTAATAATATTTGTTACTATTTTTACATGCGTTTATCAATAGTTTTGCATATCGTATATTTAAATATTTGAAATTTGAAGAATGTATTTGCGAAACAGTACAAAAAAGGACAACAAGCTTGTCTCTTGATTGAGGATAATATGTTTCTCTTCAACAAACATCGGCTAACAGAACAGTACGTTTTAAGAAATCGTAGTCCGATTAATTTTTAATTTTTCATTAGATTATTTTATTTGGATTAGTTATAAAAAAAAGAAGAATGAATTGAGTGATATGTCAAGAGTAGATAGTGACGACGAAGTGTCGTGCGACGAATTGTACTAGCGCCATTATAGAATCATACTAGATACATGAAACTGTTCCCTTGCACACTATCAATCCAAAAATTATCAATTTTATCAAATGAAAATATTGCTTTATTCTCATAAAAATAAAGACAAAACATTTGGTTTTTGTTGCGTACTCAGTAAAAAAAAAAATAAGATAAACTGCAAATCGAATATGATATACATCAACCAAAATGTGATGCTAATAGAATTCGTATTGCAGATGATTTTCTAAAAGCAAGAAAATATCGAATACGATTATTAATTGATCCAGTATCAGAAAAAAAATTCATTTAGTCAAGTTTATTGTTCATGGTCAATTCGATTTTATGTTATTAATCATTTGAAAAAATTATTATTATATAGTTCAACCAATTCAAGGTTATTTTCCATTAGAATTGATTATAAATGCATTAGATAATGCTATTCAACAGTGTCAATAAAAACGCTTTTTTTCTTTGAGAAATGAAGATTATTTCTTATTGTGATACTACAAAGTCTAAAATGCTATTTTTCGTTGAACATATATTTATTATGTAGACGAAAAATTGATAGATGCTATTCTTTGTTTTATCACAATAATATAAATCATAGAAGCAAGAGGAATATTATTCATGTTCTGTTATTTTTCTTTTAAGTTGAGATAAATAAAAGTTTTGTCAAACATATAAACCTAACTTTTGTTGTCTATTAAATATTTGGTAATACTTACAATAGAATTGAATTTATTTTTTTATTAGAATATAATCAACAAAATGATTCATTTTAAGTATTCTAACAATAGTTAACTTCACCAATAACAGCTATTTATATCAATAATAAAACTGATCTCTTTTCAAAAGCATTAATGAGTAAAAATGAAAAATTGACAAATTGATTTCTATTTTGAACGTGAGGAGTGTTGAAAATGTTCTCTGTTCTATCCGAACAACTTTTGTTATGTTAATGAAAGGAACTGGTTGAAGAGATCTTTTGACATGATGCCATCTGTTCGAAAAGTTCTTTCATTCATTTGATTTGTATTTTGAATTGAAAATTGGTTGATTCCTAGTAAAAAGATGGTGTCTGTTTTAAAGCTCCTTTAAAAAAAAGAAGTTGAATTTACGTCGGAATAATCAAAGTAAATTAAATGCATGTGAAGATAGTCCGACGCCTGGTTTTCATAAATGATATGACTTCTTTATTTGGAATCTCTTTGCTTTTTTTGCAAAAATTTTTGATGATTTCTGCCATGATCTACTTGAAAGAGATATTGTTTTAAAAAAGTCCTGGAAATCTTTTTGATTTTTTCTTTGTTTGTGCCGTTTTGATCGCGCGTCCATGAATCCTCAAAAGAACTTCATTGTAGTTAATTTCTTTTTAATTCTTTGATTTAAGAAGTGTTAATATTTTATGAAAAAGTACTTTTTTATAATTAAATCACTATTTTTTGAAGGTTTTTCGAAATATTAGACTGTTCATTCCTTTTCTTTGTTTAAAAAGTAAGAATTTAAATGGAAAGAGCTGTATCATGCCCTGCATCTCGACATGCTCTTTGAAATAAAGAAAAAATAAAATATATAAAATGAAGATTTACAGAAAATGTTGAGTTGTCAAATGAGCTATTATTGAACTTTGTTGAATATCTCCCGAGAACGTCACGATATAGAGCTAAAAGTTTTCATAAAGCCTCATATTACGATCATAATATATTCCGAAAATTTTCTGCTATTTGAATGTGCCTGGTTCAAGATCGATTTTTGAGAGAATTTTCAATCGTTTGTTCAACAGATTGTCACATAACCATCATTCATCTTTTGCAACTTATTTTAATAATTGAACAACAGTTTCAATGGCAAATAAATAAAAAAATGTTTCTTCCTCGTCGTACAAGTTTCAAGATTTATTCATCTAACAATTGCTTTGCTTTTTTTCATAATAATCAATATTTGTCATGATTCAAAATAACTTATTTGTCAACGATTTCATCTATTGATTACAATCGTTCTATTATCAAATCAATTTTTAATGTGTTGCACAAACAATTTATATCGAGCGATTATATCCATTCGGACCATAGATTATCGATACTGAAACAGGATAGTCTATTCTTAATGTATAAAAGATTTTTTTGTCCTTTAACTTCACTAAGAGTTAAATAATTATCTCGAAAGAATGTATTAATAAATTTTGTTCTGTATGTCGATTAAGTATGTTAGACAACAAACATTAAACTTTAGAATTATTTAATATAGACTATTGGGAATTTCTGATAAATGATTATTAATGACATAGACAACATGCCATTGAAAGAAATTCTTATCTCTTCTGTAAAAATCAGTCGAACATGTTTCTTCGACAAAAGATAGTGAAAAGAGTTTTTTTTTCTCTTGTGACTTTGAATAGGAGTAGGAGTTATATATTAGTTTGTTTAAGGCAATGAAAACCAAAAATAGGTTATTCCCACAGGATTCTCCAAATATATACATCTTGTTCATGATCTTTACATTTATTTATGAATTATGAAGTAAGAGATTCAGGCAAGAGAATTTCATTGGGTAATTTCTTTTGTACCCATCGATGGACATCAAAATTTAATTGATTGTTTAAATCTAATTTTAAGCAAAAAAAAAAACAATTTGATTTTTAAAAGAAAAAAAATAACCAAAACTACTTTGTTTTTCTTGTTCAATTAATTGAATAAGTTCATAATTTGATCGATGTGAATATTTACAATTATCACCAAAAGGACATGAATTACTTTGATTCCATTTATTACAAATTTTTTTTGTTCGTTCATTCAATAATATCTCAACAAGATCTAAATCAAATATCTTTATTATTATTTGTTTTTTCTTCAGAAATATCAAAAATAAATCATTAAAACCTTGAAATTGAAGATAATAAGTTCTTTTATTATTAATATGTTGAATTCCTCGATTATGATTTTTTCGATGATTTAAACCAGCTGGTAATCTTTTATCACAATAATCACAATAATATTTTCGACCCATCTCAAAAAAAAAATAAAATAAAATAACATCAAGATTTTATTGTCTTTTTTTAATGAATTTTATTATTATTTGTTCATTGTTGACAATAGAAGTATTATGTATTTAAACATTTGCAAATATAATGAACACAAAAAAACAAAAATTTCTTTTACATTTGATCAAATATTTAATAAAAAGAAAAACAAAACAAAATCACATTGTTCCTAATGAATAAATATACAATAAAAATAAAAGCAAACGATAAACACCGGTATAAAAACATCCTTATTGATCTCTATGATCAATAGGTGCATTTCAATTTGATCTACTGCTCGATTGCGATAATTCATGCAATGCGTTAGTAACGTTTCTTAAGGCATTATGAGTTGTTATTAAAACTGATTGAAGATTAGTTATTTGAGTTTGATAATATTCTTCTTGTCTTCTTAATAATGATAACCATTCATTATCTTCTTGTTGATATCTAATTAAAATAAAAATTCTATTCAAAATAAAAATTAAAAATAAAACATTTTACATACGTATATCTTTGTAGCCATGTTGGATACATTTTTATAAGATTATCTGTCATATTATCAATTTGATTCAATTTTACGCATAAAAATATATTTATAACAAGAAGAAGAAGCATTCTATTAAGTTAAAAAAATTAAAAAAATATTATTTTTTCTTTTATGTAAATATTTACGTGAATAGACAAAATAATAGTAAAAATGCATTTTTAGAAAAAAACAAACGGTCTGGTACTGAAACATCTGAGCCTAAATTTAAAATATTTTTATAAATTTAATTATTTTGTTTCAATAACAATAAATTTACTAATTTCATCTTCAATTGATTCTTCTCGTTGGGAGTTTATTGATAAATCATTTATGGAAGAAGTTAATTCATCTGATTGTTGTTGGCGCAATGTTCTTGTTTTTGATAGTATTACTTTTTCTTTTTCAGTAGTTTTACTAGTACTAAAAGTTCGTGATCGTTTGGAAGATTCTTGATCCATGCGCTTCACTAAATCAAACAAAAAAAAAACATTACTTTTGTCTTATATTATTCATAATAGGAAAACGAATTTAAACAAACCACAATCACAAAACACACCTGACAATGCCGATAATTCAATTCGATTGTCTTTTATAAAAACAAAAAAATTAAATTAAAAACACAAAGCCAAACATTGAAACAATAAGCAGCATAGCATAACCATGGAAGATAAAACTTACTTAAATCAGCAAATGAATCTTGAAGAGCAGCCATGGCATTTTTTTCGATGAATGCTGAACGAGCACATAAAATATGACATTTAATAAAACGGGAAATAGATGATTTTATTTTCAACTTCTTCATTTTAAGTTATGCTTTAGAAATGAATGAATGAGAATGGTATCGTATTGTGATTGACTAATTTTTTTTTCTTTTATACAACCACTCCCTATATATGACACCATCAACACACGATTTTTTCAATGACAGAACAAGAAAAAGAACAGCTAGCAGTCTGTATTTGTCTCGCAAAAGAGAAAGGAAGAAAAAGACAGAATGCTACAGGTAATATGTGACTCTTTGTGAGAAATGGCGTGATCAAAGTCAGTTAATATAACTTCCAATTGAAATATTTTAATGAAAAAAGGCAAAAAAAAAAGATAGAAAATTAAAAGAGCTTACTTTTAATAATAGCCATTAAACTTTTAACATATCTCACTTCACTAGTGACTTTTAAATGCGTTTTGTTTGATCCAATTTGTATAAGGCAATAACGACATGCAACATAAAATGAATCTGCATATTTTATTCCTTCATTTCGTATTTCTGTATCTAATACATAATGTGATTTCTGTAATTCACAATCAATAATCTACTTATGAAATAATTTATAAAATATATTAAAAAATAAAAACACTTTTTTTTAATTTAATTTTTACTTGTTTTTCATTTGAAACAATTGTTGTCGACCCAATGACAGCTGCAACAGTGACCTTATATGTACAGAGACGTTCGCGTTTTCCTGTTTCATCATTAACTTGCCACTCACTTGCATGAAAATCTAGAAAGATGAGAAAAATCAAAGAATAGAAAAAAAAAATGGAAACAGCATTGAAAGAACCTTTAATGCGACGTGATGCACGATAAGCATCAAGAAAATCATTATTGCCAAATATATAATCAAAAAGACGGTCGACTGACATCGAATATGTTCGATTAATTAATTCAGTTGCCAAATGTGATTGACATGGACATTGTGCTAGGTAACATACTTCGAGATTTTCTATAAAAATTTAACAATTTATTTATTTATAAAAGAACAAAAAAAAATTGAAACTTTAAAACCAACCAGAATTTCTCTTCATACCTTGTTTAGTTAATATTGATTGAGGTTGACGTAAAATTGTATTTGTTGTTGCTTTTTCTCCAATTGGAATTATACCATCATCATCTGTATGATGTTCACCATGTGATGAACCACTCGAACGATTATCTTCTTGTTGTGAACATTTTGACTGCATAGAATTTGGTGTTATGCGCTATAGAATAGAGACAAATAATAATTATAATAATAATATATTTTCTTCAAATATTTATTCTATTAAAATTTGTTTTCGTTTTTACAAACAAAAACGAGCAGACTTTTAAAAAAAGACGATATTGATATTGACATTCTTTATAACATTAGTTGTTATTCAACTAACAACAGACAAAAAGAAATGATAAAAAAACAAAAACTGAACAGTTTTTATCAGAGAAGAGACAAGTCACAAGCTTTTCAAATTTTACGTCAAGTTTCAAGTTATTTTCTTCGAGCTTTTTCTGATTTATGTTGATACTTAAAATTCAATCGTGTCTTTCTCTATGAGAGAAAAATCAATTTTTGTGAAGACTTCATCATAAAACATCCGGCAATGTAACAGAAACAAGAAGAATCTGAGTGGAAAATCTACTAAAAAAATGTCTGCTGTTGAAATTGTTTCTCTAGATCATTAGAGAATGTCGAAAGTTGTTGAACAGAGTCACGTTGTCGTGCATGCTTTAATTTGTGTAGCTATGAAAATACTGTACTGCAGTAATGGCAACACCGAAAAATGCAATGAATCACATAGACAAAAAGGAAATCATTAAATTTCAAGGCAACAATCTGCGACTTCCATTATAGTTGTTTCCGACTTGGACTCATATCAATTTTAATCAGTTTTAAATTCGATCCTGATTAATTTTTCAATTAATAATGAATGAAAATAATAATTCAATTTGTGGCTATATAATACGCATCCAGGGATGTCAGATCTCTCGATATGGCAAGAAAAGTTCCGACTTTTGAACTTTTTTCCCGATCTTCCGATTTTTTTCGATCGCTTTCCGATTTTCTGATTCTTTCTTGATTTCTGAGATTTTTTTCTAGATTAAAGTTTTTTTAGTATTTGACTAAAATTTAACTATAACTGATCATTAGATGTATAGTGCGCCGGATTGTCAGATCTTCAAATTTATCAAGAAAAATCTCGGTTTTTCAATTTTTTTCTCATTCATGTGAGAGTTTTAAAACGCACGTAATTAATATTTTGCTTCCTTTCTTGTGAAGTTTGTTCGGGAGTTTTTGAAAAAAAAAATAATTTCGAACTAAATAAGTTTTTTGAGTTGCTCATACGCACTGAACTTTTATTAGTTTTGTCGTAAAATACATTGTAAGATAATGTATATAAATAAACAAAAACAGAATAAAACACTTTTCTGATTTTAAAAATAATAATCTCTATTTTTAACTATTCCATTTGGTAACCCTGATCATATCTAGTGGGATGGTTATCTTCAATTCAAATTCACAAATTATTCTACAACGTACTCGTTACTCTAAACATTATACTTACTATTCTTGTCGTTATTTGTTCGTCATGCTTCGTTTTACGACTACGAAACGAAAATATAAAAAGGTGCTTAACTAATTGACTTTCTAATACAATATCAAACATATAAACAAGACTTTTGTTGAATAGCGTCGTCAAAACCGAATATGTTCAAGTAGGATGTGAATGAACAATAGACACATGCATAATGCTTAAATTATTTTTCTTACTCATTTTCTTATCTTAATTCATTTTTGTCAAATAAAGATCTAATTAGGGATGAGATGAATTCGGTAGAAAAGTTATTTTGAGATAAACGAATCAGGAATACTGGTTAAATCGCTCAATTATATATACGTCTTTGTTTTTGCACTGAAAATGATTTTAGTTTGTAAGATGAAATAAAATAAATTGAATAATAATTTGTCTTGTCCATCTCTGATTAATTTTCTTGATTAAATAAAATAAATGTTCTTTTTATTTTATATTACAAGGCAACTATTCAAAATAACACATCATGCATAAAATCTAACTTACCAAAACAATATTTGATAACTGAATTAAATATCAAATAAATATATCTCATAGATTTATTTGAAAATAAAAAATTAATAAATAAAGACTTATGCTTACATCGTATTTATCAATTGATTGTATCAGATGTTTTGATGATGTTTTATTAGATATTAAATTTAATGATGGTTTATTATATGTATCTTCTTCATCAGTTGTCATATCTAAATCATCTCCATAACTTTCATGAATCATAATCCATAATTGTTGAGCAGATATTGGCTTAAATTAAATTTTTCATTTAGTTTTTTGTTTCTTTTAAGAAGAAGAAAAAAATAAAGAGGAAAGAAAATTACTTGATCCTTTAATGAATTTTGCCATATTCGATGGATTAATGCATAGGTTTTATCACGTGCTACAAAACTTGCAAAAAAATATTTTTCAAATTTATTTGATTTTATTTCAATAGCATTTGGAATAACTTTTGCCGTTTTTTCACGTGTTATTCCAATGATATCTTGAAGTTTTAAAAATAAACTTGTTTTCCAATTAAGAATATTAGCATAAAAACATAAATAATTTTGAGATAAATACATTCGACCTTGAACTAATATATCTTTTTGCCATGCACATGAATAATCTGAAAACAACGTATTTCGATTAAAAGAAAAAAAAACATTTTTTTTTTTTAATTTTAATTTCTTACCAACAATTAATCGTTCATCATTTGGTAATTCTTTAAAAATCTTTCGAAATTCTTCATTTCGTTGACGATATGTTGATTGAAATGGCTAAATTAAAATCAAAAATCAAATCAAATTCTTTCAAAACTTAATAAGCTAATAATAGCATGTAAATAAAATGAGCAAAGCACCGTTCCCTTGTTTTTTTTTTTATTTTGTTTTTTATATAGTGTTAATAGATAAGTATAGCCCATATTCAAGTACCAAAGCAATAGTTATTCAGTATATTTGTGTGGAAGAGCAGTGGAAGAATATTCGATTGATAATGTTAGTTTAATATATATATATTTAATGATTTATTTACTTGAGTATTACGTCGTTTCAAATTTTCTGTTGTAGCTTTAGTTTTCGTTGGATGTTTTCTTATTCTATCTGTGTATCGATTAGATTGTGTACGTCTAAGTGATGACATTAATGGAGATCCATAATAAATATTTTGATCGGGCCATGATGAAGGTCGTCGTTGTCTTCCCTTATTATTATTGTTATTATAATGATTATTTAACTTAAAAGATTGACAACGTTTTGACGAACGAATATTTGTAAATGCACGTGCATTTGATACTAAATCGAAGAGATTAGGTGCTATTAATATATCTTTTCTATGATCTGTTGATGATGTTTCAACTCCTGAACATGTTTCAAGTTCAAAAGGAACTAATGGAGAATTTGAAATAATTGAAGTTGATGGTGGATGTGTTAATAAAAATGATTTAATTGTTTCAAGAGATAGTTTTTCACTTGATGAACTTTGAGTATCTTCAGTATCAACTGAAAGATTATTATTTGAATTATTTACTTCATCTTGTTTTAATATTGTTTGTGAACAATCTGTTTTTAAATTTAAACTTCCTTTTGATCGTCGAAAACTTTTTGTTTGAAGAAATAATCGAACCGTGTCCATTATAAATTAGATTTCATCCAATTATTCATTAGATATATTTTAATAAAAAGTAACTAGATAAACAGCTAGATGAGTAGAACGTAATTAACATGGTTAATCATGAAAAAAAAAATGACGATTGATAAGAAGTGATGTCTCTTACTGACAAGTTTTCGTTTATAGTACACAATTTTTTTTTCTTCGTCCGATTTTTTATTTTCTCTTTCTCGCTCGACTTCTTTTTAGTTTCAACACGAGTCCATCTAATGTGAACCTCGTTCTTTCTTTTTCTTCTTTCAAAATATAATATTGTCCAGGAGAAAAATAGAAGAAAGAAAAAAAAAAAAAATCATAACCGATTCATTACTACATATAATGATTGACTCATTGAAGCGTGGAAAAGAAAGAAAAATATACAATATACAATATATGTATTGCATAAATATAGTTAATAAACAATAAATTTTACTATCGTACGATCATAAAACCAATAAAAATAATAAAAAAAAAGAAAATAAAAAGTAAAGTTTACTTACATTATACCATGGTTTCTTTTTTCTTGATGTTGTTGATGATGAAGATTTTTCTTGAGTTATTGATTTCTCATTTTTTAATGACGAAATATTATTTGAATTGTCTTTGGTCAATAATTTTCTTCTAGTTTGATTTTTTGCATTATTACTTAATGGGGATTCATTACTTGTTGTACTAGTTGAAGATAATTCAAGTATTGTTGTTGATGGTATATCATCTGTACTTGCAGATTTAAATGGTTCACTTTTATTTCTTCTATGATCTATTCGACGATTTTTTGTTCGTAGAAGTGATATTGATGATGAATTTAATTGATCTATTGAATCATTTTGTTCTAATGATAATTCTGAATTAAATGATGGAGATGTTATAAGAACTTTTGTTGTATTAGATGATTCACTGTTTGGAAGACATTCTACAGTTGTAGCTGTTTGGATATTGGAAGATTTCTCATTAAGTATATCAATAGTATCTGATGGAAAACTATTTGATCGTTGCATATCTGCAGCTAATGATACAGATGTTAATATCACTTGATCAGATTCTTCTATTGGACTTTGAGCTATTGGAGAGAATTCTGAAGGTGAACTATTAAAAAAAAAAGATTATTTTTTTTTTGTTAATGTTCATATATTATTAAAAAAAATAATTTTTCGCGTTTTTTTTTTAATCTAATAAACTAATGAGCAGCAATTGTACCTGAGCAGCTGTCTACTCTTAGCCAGAATATCATCTACTGAAGGCAGAGAGCACATTCGACGATGAACAAATTTTTTCATATTTGATAATATTTCAGTGCTGTATTATATAAAAGAAAAACTTTTAATAAAACTTGTTTTTTTTTTTATTCTTCGATAAACCAAATATCGTATGATTCTGGTTACACCTCTCAACAACAAAGATAACATTTTCCGTTGGTTTTTTTCTTTTTATTTATGTTCAACAATTATTTTTCTTACCTTGGAGTTGTTTCATCGAATGACATAAAGGCCAATATTTGTGAGATTATACAATCTGAAACAAAAACAAAAAAAAAAAAAATTTGTCAATTATTTGCAAACAAGTCATGTTTTCAACGTATTTGTTCTCATGTGTATACGATAAACAACAACAAAAAGTACATTAAGATTGATAAAAGTACATAGATTTTTGCACAAAATATTTTCTTCTTCTTTTTTCTTTTATTTGATCGGTTTACATTGAAGGTTGGTTTTGCCTAAATGAAATATAGATAAGAACAATGATTGATAAGAAAGAAACGACAAGGAAGAACGAAGTAAAGCTTAGCAAATAGAAATGAAAGATCAACTGTATTTAGTTCGATGTTGTTTTGCAAGATTTACAATTGAACTCATCGAATATATTAATCAATCATCACTAAATTATTTTTGATATATCATAATTATTTTGATTTTTTCTTATAAATAATAAAAATATGAACAAACAATTTTAACTATCAATAAGACAATTTCTTGTGAATCATTGTAGTAATATTATAACATTCATAAGAACAATTTATTTCCCTTAAGGCATAAAAACAAAAAAAAAGAATATCTATTAAATATGTGACATTGACAAAGGTAAATCGAATATTCATCTTATCGAGTTCTAATAAAAAGAAAAAACCTGCACATCTTGATTTACTTTTCCTATGTGTGGTTTACCTGTTTTAAAAAAATACTAACAGTTTTATTTGTCTTTGTTTCTATTAGAAAACTAAATCATTTAGTCAACATATGAAATCTACTGGGCAAAGTACAAAGACAGAATAAAAAAAAGAAAGTAAGTATCATCTGCTTGAACTATAGAAAGATATGCGAATGATAAGAGGTCAAATCTTTCTAAGCATAGAAAGGACGTTTTAGAATTTGTGTGCATCAAAAAAAAACTAATTTATATGCCGAAAAAAAAAAATTATTTATAATATAATATATTTCTATGAAATTCAATTATTAAGGTCATTATTTGAAATGACATTTTATTTGACTGACATTGTCTATCTAATTAAAAGTAGTGTAAACATAAGAAATGCCATACTGACATCGATCATTAAAGACTTTTTTTGTAAAAAAAAAAAAAAAAAAAAAAAAAACGAGGAAAACATTTCAAATAACAAAAAACAAACCGAATGAGACATTTTCTGAATCATGCTTTATATAAACAGTTAAAATATTCATTGAGTATACATTTATTAATCATTTGAAGTGTATTGTATCAGACTTATTAAGCTAAAATTTATTATTTTATGCAAAATTAATTCATCGCTATATTACGAGTGTCCTCTTATCTCTTGCTTTGACATTTACAATTTTCAATTAGGATAAACTAATCGGATTGAATCTTACACTGTCGCTAGAATATACAAAAGAATCCAATCGTCCCTCAGGAAAATCTTTTTTTTTTTTTCTAAAGAGAATATTTTGAATTCATATTAAATTCTCATTGACTTTAATTGACTAGGTTTTTTTATCAAAAAAAAACTGAATTAGAGATAAGTTTAAATTGAAATCGATATTTTGTCTTCATAGAATGCTATCATTAATGATTATCATTGGAAAACTTTTATTACCTTATGAACTCAAAAGATATATCGAGAATAAAAAAAGATATTAAGACGTATCATTTCACGTGACTAATTTAAACTCGTCTTTTGTGTAGAACAAAGCAATGAACATAGTAACGGGTGCCCCATAATAAATGGCCGGTTTTTCTATTGCATCTTTTAATCTCTAAATATGTTTTATTAAAAAAATAGAATATATCACTAGATAGTGTGAATAACTCTACAATCGACAAAGCAAGGCTGATTTTGATTGTGTGATTTTTGTTTTGAAAAAGGCAAAATTCTGTACGATCAGTTTTCAGCGCTGCCGAAGAATCATTGATTCTCTCTTATTTCATCTGTCTATCTCCTAATATGTTTTCTTAAAAAAAGTAAAATACATCAGAAGATGCAGCGTGAAAAGTTGTACAATCCCCAAAGTAAAGCTTATTTTGATTCTGTAATTTTTCTGTTCAAAAGAAGCAAAATTCTGTGACACCAATTTCCGCTGCTGTGAAAACATCATTTTTTTTCTACACGAAGGAGTAATTTCTTTTTTTCTTATTTCATCATTTTACCGTCTAATAGGTTTTACAAAATATACTACAAGACGCAACGTGAAAAGCTCTACAATCTACAAAGTAACGCTGATTTTAATTATGTAGTTTTTGTTTTCAAAAGAAGCAAAATTCTGTCAGACCATTTTCGCAGCATCGAAAATTGATTTCACAGAATTTCACTCGTTTTGAAAATAAAAAGTACACAATTAAAATCAGCGTTACTTTGTAGATTGTAGAGTTTTTCACACTGCATCTAGTGGTATATTATGTTTTTTAATAAAACGTATTTAAAGATTGAAATATGAAACACAAAAACCGGCCATTTATTATGGGGCACCCGTTACTTAATAAGAAATATTCAATAAATCTTACATTATTCATGTTTTATAAGGAATAAAAAACATAAAAAATGTAATGATACAAATAATTCCAAGAACAATATAAAGCCCAACCAAGAAATTAATAGTTCTCTTCCATTCATGATGTTGTACTTATTATAAATTGTTTTTTTTTCAGTAAAACCTCTTACCAGATAATCTTTAAAAGCAAAAATGACAGAAAAAAAAACACTTTTAATAACAAATAAAATCTTTACTATAACTAATTGTCAAAGAATAATTTTCTTGAGATAAATTATTTTGAAATATAATTTAACCATCATAAAATATGTTTTTATAAAATTTTCTGAATGTTAAATTTTACAATATTTTCCATTCATACAATAAAATCTTCATTTTTGACATGATTAACACTTCTGGATAACTCTATTTGTTATGACGAATTTATTGATTATCATTATGAAATTTAACATAACATAAATAGTAGTTTATCAAAACATCATAAAAATAAATTTCACTCTAGAAAAAAAAAGCACAAACAAGTTTTTTAAATAAATAAAATTTAGTAGACATAAATGGTTTACTTAATGTAAAAGTTTTAGTTAACATGTATATGAGACATCAGTATAATGATTTCTTTATAAAACATCGGCATATGTTGTATTTATTACAAATTGTATCTGTATAATCAAGAACATATTAAAATACTTTGAATTAATTAGATTAATGAAAGAAAAAAAAGTATTATATACTTCTTCAGATGTAATAACAAGTATAATACTAATTGGAATAAATATTAAGTCGATCATTAAAAAAGAAACTAGAAAAGTTATATCTAGAATTGTTATGGGTTACCATACTGGTAGACGTTGGTTTTTTCAAACGCAATATCTAAAAAAAAAAGTAAAAAAGGAATAGAAAAAACTAACTGCATAGTTATGAAAACTCATCGGCTGACTTATTTCCGTTTTGTTATTCTTTATCTCCTTCAGCTTGAAGTTGATAAGACATATTATATGTTTATTATTACGGAAAAATAAACAAAACAAACTATTTTCGATCTTTAGATAAGAATAAAAGAACAAACTAAGAAAATCAAGAAAGAGAAGTATAAATATCTGTTCTGTTACGATTTTCTGTTCCATCATGAGATGACTCATTTTAAAATGTTGACAATTTCATTTTCATTGGATTATTTAGTATATAATCACAAATTCGTTTGATCTATTTTATATATAAACAATTATATACTAAAATTAAATTGAGAATTCAAATATAATAAAGTTTTTAGAATAGATGTCACTCTTTATCAATGACTCTGCATGTAGTGAAAACATTATCGGCAATTTCTTTAATTTACATAATTGATTTGATTCAGTTCACTGTGAAAAAAAAACAATACCATTCGTAGTACCTGACATGTAACATGTCTATTTTATTGATGTTTATAAAACTGACTATCAGTTGTGACAATATGTGTAAAAAACGACGCATTATACATTTCACTTACTCATATGAAAGGACAACGAATAATCGATTTTAGAGATTTCAGCAAAATAGATACTTTAAGGATGAACGAACTAACATTCTTGCAAACGAAATTCCATTCTACCTAATAACAATTTGGAAAAATAAATAATAAATTTGATGGTTATGTCATTCGACACGTACTTCAAAGCGTAACGATCAGAAATGTCTCCAGATATTAACTCTCGAAAAATTATCTTTAGCAATAAGTGTCCTTTCAGAAGTGTTCTTGGGAAAAAAATTGTTCGCTTTATAAATCATATTAGAACTGGAAGAGATAATTGTAGATGATGTATATTTTGTAATATATGTTCTTCATTCTTTTTGCATAATTTATTTATCTTGTAATCATCGTATCTAAAATTTAGAAAATGAAGACAAATAACAAGATAAATAAAATTCATTAAATTTTAACGAAAACAACACTAACTTCTAATCCTTGTAAATATTTTTATTTCAAAACCAATTTAGAATAAAAGACATGTTATATTAGTTACTGACAGTTAGACATTTCAGTTAAATAAGTGTACTTCGAATAAAAGTGACACAATCATATAGATTACAATTATTTGATTAAAACTTGTCTGAAGCCTTTTCTTAACGAACTATGGAAATAAACAGAGACATAAGATAGAATACGTATGAAATTTCTTGGTCCCTATCGTTGCCTTGTCACAAAACACTTTTCAATCTACCCTATCTCTTAGAGCAGTGCATAAATATGAACGGAGCTCGACTGTAAGATAACTACTAACTCGGTGAAAAATTCAGATCGTTTTATTTTCGCTACTCATATCTTATTTAGACCTATGGTGTAGTTGTAGAGCCAGAACACCGGCGCCTCTGTTGTTTCAGTTGGACAGTGGCAACTGGCATCGTGTATATCCATTGTATCATGTAACATACAAAATGACCAACAGAGTAGCTAACGACGAGAATAGCTCTCTAGTCCTTCTCTTGTACCAGGAAGGATAGTGAAGAATCCATCCACTTTATTGGCATCCTTCATTCTTGATAA